TTTTTTTTTTTTTTTTTTTTTTTTACTTTGCATTTTCCCCATTGTTAACTGTTTCAGTATGATCTCTATTTATGGCCTGGCTACACATAGCTAAGAACATGGTCTGTGATATCTGCTGATTTCCACAGTGAGGTGTGTGATCACTAGCAAGGTACAAAACCACCCGGTCTGACAGCGTGGAACGTTTTAGTGTGTGATTTGGGTGATTATGCCAAGGGTTTGATATACGAATTAGGGGATGTGGCAGATGGAGCAGCTTGGCTGTGGCTGATCAGAGTGGGACTGTCTTTATAGCCARCAGGTTCTGGTCAGCAAAACATTTTAGCTCCTTAGGTTTGTCCCCTTGGACTATGAAAACAGTGTTTTACAGTCATGTAATGAGAGAAAGGCAGTSATTTTTCAGTTCTGATCTACTGAATCCTGGTTCACTGGTATTTCAAYCTCTCACAGATTCTCCATGTGCCTAACTTTATGCCTGTTATTGTGTAATGATTTAATTCTTACTTTTCCTTTCGTGGCTGATCAGTAAAAGTACAGCATTACCCCAAAAGTGAAATTTAAAACCTTACACTTTTTGCGCTGCTATCCACTCAAACAAATTTTSTTTGTTTGCATCTAGTTAAATAAGTCAGCTTACATGATGATTGAAGATAACAARGAGAATGAAGACCATGCATCTGAAAGAGGAAGGACAGCCATAATTTTTTCCTTGAAGAATGAAGTTGGAGGACTTGTAAAAGCATTAAAACTCTTTCAGGTATATATTTAATAATCATATTACTACAGCAGCTCTGCATTTTTAAATTGTAAGGGTAGTTTTGGAACACATTAGGATTAGTTACAACTATTTATTATGGATGTGATTCTTAACCTGGCTTCCATTTTACACCCAAAATTTCCCATGAAGGCAAATTTATGCCTCAGAAATTACATGATGGTTGGCTAAAAATCTTACCTCCACAGCGTAAGCACTGAGAGAGTTTTGTGCTTTCCCCTCATGACAAGAGGACTGGCACTCCATGTTTTTGTGGGCGTAAGAGGTGGTCTGAAGCCCCTGCTGATGGCAGGTGGATGCTTGGGGTGTTGACCTGTACTGATGCTGCCCAGCCAGACTGAAGGTGACAGAGGGAGGAGCTGCAATTGCAGAGCTCCTGAGCAGGTATTGTGTGAGGAATATGTGCAGTGCCACTGTGCTCTGGCATGTAGCCCTGCATGTCTTAGCCTGGGGTTTTCTCAATGTTCCTACTATAAAACACGTGATTAAATAATTTTTCAGATTAAAGATCAGTTAAACTTATGCCCTGAAATCTACTGCTTTTAAATCCCTTGCTCACTTGTGAGATAATTATATGGTGACTTGATTGGTGTTTTGGTGAATTTTGCTAATCAGCTTCCTGTGGGAAGTTTGAAAGGGAAAGATCGATGAATTTAAACCTCCTGACTGTGCTTTTATGTGCTTCCTGAATGCAAATAAACCTGAAAGAACACAGGTTTGCTTTAATTTTCTTCTGAATAGAAAATCAAACCCTTTTCCCCTCCGGTAAGCAAACTGCTATCAAGAGATCCAGTTAACTAAAATAGCTTCATCCAGGTGATGAACATTCCTGGCAGTAGAATATTAGGCTGAAAAACTACTTTAATTTTTAGTCAATTGTTTTCAGTCTATCTTTTGGCGAACATTATTTCTTACTAAACAGGAGAAGCATGTCAATCTGGTACACATTGAGTCACGGAAGTCCAAAAGACGAAATTCTGAGTTCGAGATCTTCGTGGACTGTGACAGTAACAGGGAACAACTGAATGACATCTTCCAGCTCCTGAAATCCCACGTCAAYGTTGTCTCTGTGAGCCCAACAGAGCATTTCAATGTCCAGGGAGATGGTAGGTACAAAAGGCAGTTCTGATGAAGAMCAGAACTCTTGAATTTGTTGGTTTGAAATCTTTTGATGGTTGTCCACATCTGCCCTAGTGTAGTGTCCTCAGGTGCTGGCTATAGGTACCTGCTTCTGCGCTGTGGGTGAGTGTAGTCTGGCTGGCATGAGCAGGGCTGTGCTGGCTGCTGTCACCTGTGAGTACAGGCTGTGTCAGGCTGCTGCACCATGTGTGTGCTGTCTGTGCTCCTGTCCCTTCCTAGCACAGCCCAGCTGGCACTGGGACAGGAGCACAGACAGCATAGTGGGAGTCCTGCATCCGTGCAGGTAATGCAGGCTGGACTGGAGGCAAAGTCAGACTGCAGGGCTTGAGTGCATCACGATGGCACAGGGGTGATACTGACAGATCCCGGTTCAGTTCAGACACTGGGGAGAGTGGAAGATGGATTCTGCAATTCCTCATGTAGTTCTTGATTTCATTATCTTTTTTACCCACTGTTAACAATAACTGGCTGCTTATTTTAGTATAAAAGAGGTGCCCTTTACCTTTAGATACTCCACATCGTGTTTGYCTTTACTCCTGATTAAAGAGATACCTGAAGTTCAGGGCAGCAGGAAGCTGGTCCCATGTATTTTTCACACATTGTTYTTGGGAAGGAGAGATCTGGTGCTCTTGGACTGGCTTACTTTGGCTCTAAGTAAGGGGTAATTCAATTCTAAACAGTGTCCTGACCTTTTTAAGTAAACTAAAGAGCATTGAGGCAGAAAAACACTGTATTAACTGCTCTTCCAAGAGCTTGGCAAGAAAACCCTCTCAGGCTAAAAACAGCCTCAGAGTAGTCAGTGGCAAAACTGTAATGATGAACCTCTCTCAGGCTGAAGGGCCTCCCGTTTCTCTTTTCCCCCCCAAACCCCTCAAGGGAAGCGGATGTTTCCGAGGTACATAACCACAGAGAAACATCCATTTCCCAGTGAAGCAGCATAGGAAGRCTTTAACCTGTTCCCATTCTGCCCAGGCACTACAAGCAAATCACTTCCCTTACCCTTTGCACACTTTGTGCCCTACAAGAGACCTTGTCYCCATGGGATCCTCTAGATGCTACTCTAACAACAGTGAAGGGCCAGAGAAAGCCATGTGAATTGCTTCCTTCCCAGAGGCTCTGGAGCTGCCTGTGCTCTGCAGGCAGTGACGGAGGAGGAAGTGTGAGCTGGAGGCTGGTGCCAGATAGGCAGAGCACTCCGCTGTCTTATTCATGCCCCTTTAATTTATAGATTGAGCTGTAACCACCATAGCCATACTCAAAAGTAGCGTTTCCTCCCTCGGCGTGCTCGCCGTTATTAATAATCTTGTGGATTCCATGCGTCCCCTAGAAATGGAGAATGTTCCCTGGTTTCCGAAGAAGATCTCGGATTTGGATAAGTGTGCAAACCGGGTGCTGATGTACGGGTCTGACTTGGATGCTGATCATCCCGTAAGTACTTTTCCCTCCTTGCACCCAGTCCATAGCTGGAAATATACTTTGTGGAGCTGACTTTAAAATATTGCAGCTTTTCCTCCTCCCGCTCCTCTCCCTCAATGGCACGTCAGGGGGTCTGAGCACCTTCTCTTTGGGAATTCATGTCTCTTTCTTAGCTCAGGGAAGACTGTCTGAATTCAGTTCATGTGAATTCAGTCCTGCTTTTCTGCAGGGCTTATGTGTGCAAGAACTCYAGGTCTGGGCCCTGAGTGGTCACATACAAATTAAAAATAACAAAAAAAAAAAAAATTAAAAAAAGATAAAAAGCTGTTTTGAGCCAGGCTTTCTTCCTCCTCTTTCTTTATGTCTTACTGGAACAACCAAATTGGTATTTGGGCAGTGCAAATGGGAAATTTGTTCTGTAATTTAGAATAATCAAGCAAGKAACAAACTATTTATAAATACTGATATGACTGAAATGAATCCTTGTCTAGAGGATATATAACTGCATGCATAAAACAATTGATTCTTACTTTGGAGTATTTGTTTAGATCACATCTATTAAACATTTCAGACTATRGCTATGAGTTTCCTGCTCTCTCMTTTCACTCTTACACATCATACTTTYATATTCCCCAACTGAAGAAATGTCAAGAGTCCTGTTTTAAATTGATCTATTTATTACAGCTTGGAAACTCATTGAACTGTGTTTTCCTCCTTCTTCCCACCAGGGTTTCAAAGACAATGTCTACCGCAAGAGACGGAAGTATTTTGCAGACCTGGCTATGAATTACAAACAGTAAGTTTGAATTCTCCCAGAAGAAGCCTTCTGGGAGCTTTGAAATAATAGCAGAGTGGGCTGTGAGAGCTCACCTTCCTGGGCTCAAATCAGGCTAAGACATGCTCAGCTTGTCAGTCAGAGCTGAGGGGGTGAAAGGAAGGGAGATGTAGGAGAAGATGTGAAGGTAGATCAAGGCAGCTCTGGTCAGTCTGAGGCCGTGTGGCTTGGCCAGCTGCTCTGCAAAGGAGAGGGAGGGGAGGCAAATCCCAACATACAGCCCAGTGACCACTGAGGATAAGCTTTCTGAGCAAATGTTAATACTTGAATTTTCTTTCCTGGTTCCAACTAGCGTGTGTGATGCGCAGATAAGAAGTTTTCTGTGAAAAGAAATTCGAAGAGCTTCTGTCTTTAGAGATGCTGCTTGTGGGGAGGAAGCTCTTMAAGCAGTAAGAGTTTCATAATTCAGGGCTGCAAATTCTTTCTAAACATGATTTTCATGTTGATGTGGCCTAATTGAATTTAGGTGTCAAGTTCCTCAACTGAAAATGACCTAGAAAAAGTGTGTATTAAGAGCTCTATTGCACCGTGTGTTTAATGCAACTGGTTACCCCAGTTCTGAGGTGATTACTGTTAATGTGTTATTGACAGAGATTCCCTTGGGAAAGCATTTTCCAAGCCAGTTCCCTGGCTGGCAGTGGAAAYGCAGTGTAACACTGTCCTTGCCATAATCCATTTTATTTAAGGTCCTGAGGACTAAATAGGAAAGAGAGACTAAAATTAATATGCTCAGACAGGAACTTGTCTCCTCTGCACAGAAGCAGGATTATTACCTGATGTGTATATTTAGCTGCTGTCACACAATGTGTTGTTAATTTAGGGAATTCGCTTTTCCTAAAACAAATTAAAAATAATTGCWGACTTGGAAAAGAATGTGTTATCAACTCCAGAAGCTGTGAAGAAGAGATTATGCAGGTATTTTAAACTTTACTCTTGGCATTAAACATTCAAGAAACTATTTAAAGAACCWAAGTTTTAAATGAGGTCAATGCAAAGATTCCTGACAACTGGTTGAAGTGAAGAAAAAGGCAAGTCCTTAGACTAAAAGCTTTCCAGGACATAGACCAGATTTCATTGTGTATTTGACAGAGCCTAATGCCAGGTGTCACCACCATGCAGGTGTTAAATACTAATAATAGGTAAATTAGTCACTTCTTATTAGCCATTTGCTAAGGATTGTCCTTTCTTCCTCTTCTCCTTGCAGTGGTGACCCAATTCCCAAGATTGAATTCACCGAGGAGGAGATCAAGACTTGGGGGACAGTGTACCGAGAGCTTAAGAATCTTTACCCAACTCATGCCTGCAGAGAGTACCTTAAAAACCTACCCTTGCTCACCAAACACTGTGGGTACAGGGAAGACAACATCCCCCAGCTGGAAGATGTGTCCCGCTTCCTGAAAGGTAAYGTGCTAATTTTCTAAAATGTTCTAGTTTTCAAAATAATGCAATTTGCAGTGGACCTCCATTTATTTTGTGGGCACGAGGAAACATCCTTGGTCACTTGTAATCATTYTGGTCCTTTAAGAGGCCTTTTGGCCATCTGCTGTTTCATGTCTTGTGTCTTCAAGGCACACAGAGATATTTGAGGGGCAAGTCTGAAAAGATTGTTAGGATTTGCTAAGGAGATACCTGGCTGTATTGCTGACTCTAGGCATGGAACCCTAGGAAATCCATTGGCACAGAGGTAGGGCCATTTTTAAGAAATGTTCATTCTCAAGCCTAAGACAAATTTCTCTAGTCGAGCCTAATTTTGCCACATGCTTTTGAGCCAAAGTGGTGCTGTGGCTTTTACCTCAGTTACAGCAGAAAAGCTGACAWCATTGTGCATGCAATCCTAAACTAATGCACAGTTCCTCTGTTCACTTTCAGAGCGCACAGGCTTCACCATCCGCCCTGTTGCTGGATATCTGTCACCCAGAGACTTCTTGGCAGGATTAGCATTCCGAGTTTTTCACTGCACTCAGTATGTCAGACACAGCTCGGACCCTCTCTATACACCAGAGCCGTGAGTCATTTCATCTTGTGGTAGAATTCCAGAGAGAGAAAGTTTGGAATCTTGTTGCCCAGAGCCAAGTTACTTAAAAGCTGCTCAAGAACACCAGCATAAAACTTATTTTTAAGATGCTGAAGACTCAGCCTTCACAATGAAAGTAATGAAATTACAGCGTGCTGAAGTGCCACCATCTTAAGAGCAGGATTTTCAAAAGTACAGCATATTATTGGGGATCTCTTACTGGTGTCATTAATATCTGATTGCSTTAAAAATGGGGAGCTCAGTCCTTAATTTTAGACAACTTCATTTGAAAATCTGATTTTATACACATATATAGACTTGGTATGAATGACCTGCTCAGTTGCTTTCAGATGGATRAGTGACACTTTCCTGTCTTTTGGATATTAGAGTTCAATGCAAGACATTGTATCTSTTCAGTGGTGCTGCTTTTTCACTTTGCCACAAGGGCAAATCACGAGATTTCTTGTTCTGTTTCTTTTCCCAGTGATACCTGCCATGAGCTCCTAGGCCATGTCCCTCTTTTGGCTGAACCCAGTTTTGCTCAGTTCTCCCAGGAAATTGGTCTTGCATCACTTGGTGCATCAGATGAGGCTGTCCAAAAACTGGCAACAGTAAGTGTTTGGGGATTCCATCAAAAGTTTTGTGCTTTATTAGGCTGATCCCACTCCATCAAATAAATCTGGAGTTTCATGTCAACATTAGCCACACCAGCTGTTAGATCTGTATTTCACTGGTCCCTGGCTTTTAAAGCATGTAAAAATTTTCCATGCTAGGATAAAAGGCCACTTTAAAGTTGATATGACTGGTATTTTTCTTCACTGACTGTCAAGTAACAGTTCAACTTCTGGTGGYAGATTACTTCTTGCAGACTGAAATTTTATGGTCTATTTCTTTCAGAGTGTCTTCTTACTTCTGGGAACATGATTCAATGATTTGAAAGTGTTCTAGTTCTTTAATGTGTGGAATGAATCTAAATTATATGATACTGAATGTGATGAGTGTGAGCATTAGATACTTTTCAGTCAAGAAATTAAATAATATAAACTAAACAAATTTTCTGGATGCCTTGGCAAAAGTATTTTAAGATTAAAAGTAAATTAGATTTACTTTAGATTAGAAAAGTAATTGGTGCCAGTTATGCAAGAACTAGTTTGCTGATTTTTAAAATTTCTATTGCCACCTCATGTAGCTAGTGGTGTAACTTCTACTACCTTCAGTGGGAGCTGAACCAAGACATCTATGAAAATAGTGTTCCTTCCTGTATAGCTGCAGAAATCCTGAAATCCAATGAACTGAACATCAATAATTTTACAGGACACTAAGCAAATGAGAAACAAACATCTCACTCACTCACTCACTCACTCACTCACTCACTCACTCACTCACTCACTCAGATTCTTTCTATTCAGTGTTTCTTTTAAGCTGAGGCTATGGTTTCATGCCAGTATTTCTCAAAACAGATTTACACCTCAATATTCCCACTGACGTGAGCAGCTTCTAGTGCAGCTGGGTGATCTATAACATCCACCTTTCTAATGAGTGACATGCTATCCTGTGATTCTTCACCCTTATATTCTGGCTTTCCTCCTCTTTAAATATCTGAGGAGGATAACTGAGTGATCACTGTCTGATATTTGCAACTATTTGATGCTACCTACAAATAGAAAAGCTCACATCCAGTTCACCACAGCAACTTTGATGAAGGCTGAATTGTTCTGTTTCCTTCTCTGTTTCAGTGTTACTTCTTCACGGTAGAGTTTGGCTTGTGCAAGCAAGAGGGACAGCTACGAGTTTACGGGGCTGGCTTGCTCTCTTCGATTGGTGAGCTCAAGGTAAGATTAGCTACTGCTTATTTGCTTCTTTGCATCTCATTGTTATTGCCATTGTTTTGCCCTGCTTTTTATGAAGTATAATTCCTTTTTATGAAGTATAATTCCTTGACATTATAGTCCAAGTAATTTTCAGATTAAAGCTTTATTGGTTTAACCAGATTCTGAAAATATTGCTCTTGTTTACAGACGAGATTTGTGTCTGTGGAATTCCCTTTCTCATCCAGACTGGTAGAATATAACCATTCAGAATAATTYAGTTTGTTAAGCATTGATCACTGTTCTTCTGTAGATAAAAATTTTAAGATGCAATGCATTCAAATAAACTCAATATTTTTTATGCACTTTACCACATGTCACCTTTCTCACGGATTCTTTGGATGGTGATGTTCCTCTGACTCATGATAACACATTACCAGCACTCACTCTCTGACAGTGCCAAAGTCAAGCCATTTGATCCAAAGGTCACCTGCAAGCAAGAATGTCTCATCACAACTTTCCAGGAGGTTTATTTTGTTTCTGAAAGTTTTGAAGAAGCAAAGGAAAAGATGAGGTACAGATACCCCCTTCACCTTTTTATGAAAGCAGATTTGATTTTATACATCTCTCTGTAGCAACATCAGACCCTTTTATCATGGTTTTATAGTTATTTTTCATGGGACTGGAAAGCTGAGGTTAGTATTTGTTTGGTCTTCCAAGTGCTGGGTGGGAGATGGCTGCATACAAAGAATGCATTTGTGTTTTGTTTATAACACCCTCTTTCGGTAATAACACACTTTTTTTTTTTTTTTTTTTTACCTCAATAGAGAGTTTGCAAAAACCATCAAGCGTCCTTTTGGGGTGAAGTACAATCCCTATACTCAGAGTGTGCAGATCCTGAAAGACATGAAAAGCATCGCCAGCGTGGTGAACGAGCTGCGCCATGAGCTGGACATTGTCAGCGATGCCCTCAGCAAGATGGGCAAGCAGCTGGAATTTTAACACCCTGTCATCACTGTGCTGCAATCCAATTCCTCCTTCTTCCCCACTGATTTTTTTCTAGGCATATAATATGTTGTATGCAGAACTTGCTCCTTCACACATGGAAGAGTGAATGGCCCATAAGAATAACAATTTTATCTTGTTCCTCTCTGTAAAGTCCCTTACATCATGTATTCTTCCACACTCTTAGATAAAACAAAGGTCCAGAAGCCATTTAGAAGAGGTAGGGGAGGAAAGAAACTGCTAGACTGGAGAACGTGTGGTCTGTGGATCAGGGCTGGGATCAGATGCTGTAGGAGGTGGCCTATGAGGCAAAAATGGAATAATTCACTGCARGGAGATGTCATTTTCTGACTCCAGCAGTCTATCCTACTGATTGKATAGCACTGAAGACTTGACAGCATAGAATCTATGGCAATCAGTGCTTCTCAGTCTTTGCTACTAAGTTTGAAACTTGAATGATTACAGTGYAGGCATCAGGATACAAATAGCTGAAGGTTCAACATGATAAAAGGGAGGGGTCAAATCTTGCTTTCAAAGGGATTATTCTTGCCACAAAGAGTTGCAAATGCGCTGTTTGGCTTGCTTCCAGCGTAAGGCAGAGATACAGCTGTTGCATGAAATCTTCATGTTTATTTTAAGAGATTTGCTRCTGGCTGAGAGTCAGGATTTTTGTTGCTCTCCTTAATATTGCACCTGAGGGAAGACTTTTCTTTACAGAGATACCATTTGCCTTTTTCCTGATTGAATTAATTTAGCAAAAAATATAGCAAGCCAACAAGCATTGACTGAGCACAAAGCCTAAAACCATCTCCAAATTGCAACTTAATATCCAAAATAGCTTAATCAGCTCTAAAATAACACCAAAGTTTAAAATAACACCCCAAGTTCATAGAYCATTGTGCTTCATGTAAAAAACAATTATCCTGTTGATTGCTCAGTCACTTTWTGTGCAGACCCTGCTCAAGCTGCACAAATATGTTTAGTTTCTTCTTTTCCTGATCTGAACACCATCATTCCTTATCAATGAAACTATGACTGAAAGGCCCAAGCATTTAAAAGGAATTCTGTGGCTATGAAGACAAGAAACTACCTTGTAGCGTAAAGTACACATCCTTCCTAAGAGCACTTTAACTCGGGAGGCAGTGTCCTGGTGAATTGTCTGCATTRCATAGTAGCAAACTTGCCTGTTGAGGGTCCCACAGGTCCAAGCACCCTGCATAGCTGTGCAAAGCTTCTGTACCTCTGTCCTGGCATGGACACGTGTGCAGGATGTGAGAGATTTCAGTGGGGATCTGTGATGTACAGGGTGTATTTAATAGCACCCTAGGCAGTGTTTGTTTCACAGGTAGAGCTTATCAGGAAATCCAGAAGACACTRGAAGAATGGTCTGAAATCTTAAACACGCTGGAGATGCTAATCCAGGATTTTGAGAGTTTGAAAGACTTTTATGAACCTCCGTGCTTGCAAATTAGCTCGAGTTTCATACACTTTCTAGTAGCACACTTCTGCTCCATAAGCAATTGCTGGCTATCCATTCCAAGAATATTCACTGTTCAAATCAAGCCTAGTTTATTCTGTGGCTATTAACCCATTATAACTTTGTTTTAAAGAGCATTTAAGATGTGGAATTGTGGTCTACAAGATTTATGGCTCACATTGCACTTCATTTAGAAATAGATTTTAGGAACTTTGTCTTTCTAAAGAAGCAGCATCTTCTGAGTGAGTACTAAGGATCTGTTTTGCCTGCTTTTGTAATAATAGTTAATATTCAGCTACAGTTTTAACAACATTAGATTTATTATGTTGTTGAAATATACAGAGGTCTGTGTTACTTCAAGCCTTGTCTGAACTATGTRTGTGTTTCAAGTAGGAATTCTTAAACTGGTTAAGTTAGCACCTACTGTCTAACACTTCGTAAAAATATCTGCTGTATCTTTATTTGAACTTGTGTAGCAAAAAAAAAACAAAAAAAACAAAAAAAAACCCAAACCAAAAACACAAAACCTGAACTGCTAGAAGTAATACGGAAAAGATGCACTTTCTTTGCCCTAACAACGTGTATGTCTGGCTTCACCCCCCCCCCCCCCCCCCCGAACCTTCTGTAAAACGGTGGTCAATTAAGTTCTTTAAACCATTGTGGAGGCTTAAACGTCAACGAAATAAATGAGTTGCTGGTAATTACCAGAATCACCAAGGCCCTTTCGTTCGGCAATACAGCACTAAGCASGGAGCACTCGCTCGCAGCTCCGGTTTGCGTTCCCCGGCGCGGCTCAGGCAGTGCCCGCCTGTGCTCCCGCCCCGTGCCCGCCTCTTCCTGCCCGGCCCGCGGGCGGCGGGAAGCGCCGGGAGCCGCCAGCYCCCTGCCATGGAGCCGCAGCTCTTCGCCTGGGTGAGTGGGTGCTCGGCATGGCCCGGGGGAGCCGGGGAACCGGGATCTCCTGCTGTCCGGGAGGCGAGAGGGTGGCGGGGCCACTGCTCGCCCTCCCGGGTTGCTGCGGCCGCTGGCCCGGGGGAGCGCGGCCGCGGTGTCCCCGCCCCGCAGGGAAACAACGCCGCGGTTTCACCTGGTGGGCACAGGAGCTCTGGGAGCCGTGGAAAGGGCACCCCGCAGCCCTGTCAGCTCCCTTTGATCCGGGGGGGCCGTGCTTGGGGCTGGAGCCGGGGTTGGTGCCGGCGCGCCCGCCGGGGCAGGGCGGTGGAGGCTGGAGCGGTGCTGGCGTTGGGAAACCCGCGGGTGGCTCGCAGCCCCTCGGCTCTTTCTGCACCCCATCGCGGCTTGCCTGGTACGGAAGACTTGAACATTCATTGCGAGTTACAGGCTAAAATGGGAGCTTGTGACACACATTCTAAAAAGAATTGCGTCTGTTGAGTGACGCGCTCTAAACTGGGTGTCACCAGTAGTGGCTGTGAGACTACAACTTGATCTGCCTGTGCAGCTCCACTCTCGACATCTCACCCACCTGTTGGTTCTGGGCTGGGCCCAGCAGCCTGCTGATTTTGTCTGAACTGTCGCTGTTTCTGTAGGTATAAAATGTTTATTGCTGAGTGCGGCCTTTTAACATTCACCAGGTGCTGCATCTTTCGGGAGTGGTAGTGGATAAATTGAGAGCAGATGGGCTGGGRCAGCACAGGTGAGGTAGAGAAAGTATTCCCTGGGGATGACCAGCTGGGAGCATTGTGGGTGTGGAGTGTTGCTATTATTGCAGTGTGTGGGATGGGGAAGGTTATGGTATTCSCTTTTGTGAATGAAGGTTGAACTATTGGATAGAGAGCTTAAATTGACTAAGAAATTCACTAATTTGTTACCATGTTGACAATTGCTGCTTTCCATGGTGGGTTTAGTRGCTGTAATTTTGTTCCTATAAATTTATACTACTGATTATTGATATATTTTTATTTGGACCTCTTTTATTTATAAGACTTAGTTAATGAAGTGTAGGTTCTTCTGATTTACTTATTTAGGTTCCAGAATAAGGTAGCATGTCTTTCTGCTCTCATTTTGGAGATAGCCTGCCAGAAAGCTGAGCCATGAATAAGATCTTAGTGATGAGTGGGAATCATTAGCATGAAAATTAAACATGTGGTAATCATCCTGATAGAAAGGTTTTCCTCCGTGCTAACTGTGAGCCTGCAGTTAAAGTCTTAACAGGGTGTATTCCAAGGCACTTTTAAAAATACTGGGGCTGCACAGGCACCCTTAATGACAAAGTTAGGACAGTCCTGGTCTGTAATCCTCAGAATCCTGTGTGACATATCAGGGGGTTTTCAGGARCAGGTTACCCTGTGGCATATCCCAAATATGCCTGTTTGTCCTTGGGAGCATGTGTGTGCCTCTTTTGTTAACTTCCAAAAAATGTTATTTTTTTTGTGTGCATTTGAAGGGTGCAAACAGCTATGGACAGCTTGGTCTTGGTCATAAAGAGGATGTGCTGGTTCCTCAGGCACTGAAAGATGCTTCCTGCACATGTCAAGACATTGCAAGCATTGCTGGAGGAGGGGGACATTCTGCAGTTACCACTGGTAAAAACCCTGCTCTTGCATAGTGTGTATGGCTTTTAATCGCTTTTTTTCTTTCCGTGTTGGTTCAGTGCTGCCACCTCTCTGTGGCTGCTGTTTCTAAGCAAGGACAGTCCTTAGTGGTAAAACAATGAAATCAATAATCGGGGAAATTAGGGAAATTCCTGTTTTCCATATATTGTGTGGTTACTTCATGACTGTGTAAGGACTGTTTCTTCAGCTGTTTCTTTTCATAAAAAGAAGCCAAATTTTCTTGTTTGAGGAGAGGGGGTGGAAAGGAGGAATCAGAGATTGTTCAAACTTAAGAAGTCGTAAGGTAGGGAGCAGGAGATAATATCTGGGCTTTGAAAGGTTCTGCTGTGTGCCACAGCTAATCATGGGAAAGAAGGAATACAAACAGGTATGAACATAATAGACTTTTTAATCATATGTCTTGCTGTAAGAGCTGCCTGTCTTGCCRTATGGATTGTCTCCCTTGACAGATATAGCTCTCCTTAGCTGTAGTTATTCAGAGGTGTTTCTGATGGATTGGAAGCAACTGTTTCTCTTACTTTTTACTTAATTGCAGTGCTGAAAGTGACACACAAWCACTGTCCTTGTTTGTTACAGGATCCCACAGATATATGTTTCTGTTCTTAGTCTATGAAGTGGACCACAATTTTTTTTTTTTTTTCTTCTAGGTGCGGGACAACTCTTTGTATGTGGCCACAACAAAGATGGGCAATTGGGGTTGAATCACACAGAGGATGTGCTGCGTTTTACTTTGTGCACTGCCCTGTCTGGCTTTTGTGTAAAACAAGTTGCATGTGGCTGGGATTTTACAATCATATTAGTAGGTAAGTTTGTCTCTCTAAGAGCTGAAGAAATATCTCGATGTAGAGAGCATGCTGAAGGTTCTGCATTGCTGGTGTGGTGTGAGGGACCTGGATGAATTTGAGACGAGGCCCACGGGAAAATTCAGGCCCTCAGGAAATTCAACGTATCCAAGTGCAAGAGAGAGGCTGGCCATGAGCACTCCCAGCCCAGAGAGCCAAAYGTGTCCTGGGCTGCATCCAAAGCACYGTGRGCAGCAGGGCAGGGAGGGGATTCTGCCCCTCTGCCCTGCTCTGSTGAGASCCCACCTGCAGTGCTGCATCAGCTCTGGGGTCCCAGCACAGGAAGGACRTGGAGCTGTTGGAGTGAGTCCAGAGGAGACCACCAAGATAATCAGAGGGCTGGAGCACCTCCTGTGAGGAAAAGCTGAGAGAGTTGGGGCTGTTCATCTTGGAGAAGAGCTTAACCTTGGACAAATTCTCTTAAACTTATGTGCAGTTTGGTTTAACAATGAATTCAGGATTTAGCCATTCTCTTAAACATGACATACTTAAAAGATGGCTTTCACTTCATATCAAATGTTATGGATGATCAAATTCAAAAATCTTCTAAGAGTGTAATGGATTCAGAATTTGTTTGCAGCTCATTATCMAGTACCCAATCATGATAWYCATAATCAATCTTAGTAGCACCTTACTTGAGTAGTCCCATCCACATGAGAAATCCCTCTTACATCAGTGGAGCAATCTGAATATTAAATTACTACCTACTTTGGTTAAAAATGTCATAACAGTCCATGGTTTTCTGTATTTTGCACAACATAGATTTAGTGAAGGAGCTACCACCTCTGTAATWCTACTGCCTTGATTGTATGGTGCATTGTGGTCACAAAGTGCACAAGCCCCATCATAAAATAAAGGCTGCACCTGCCCTGAGACATCTGTGACAGGAGTGACCTTATTGCAACCTTGCAGAACCTTAAAAGAGCCACAGGAAAGCTGYAGAGRAGCTTTTTACAAGGGYGTGTARTGATAAGAYAAAGGCTGAAGGCTTTAAACTGAAAAAGGGCAGGTTTGGATTAGTCRTTGGGAAGAATCTCTTTCCTGGGWGGGTGGTGAGGCACTGGCGCAGGTTGCCCAGAGAAGCTGTGRATGCTCCATCCCTGGAAGTGTTCAAGGCCAGGTTGGATGGGGCTCTGAGCAGCCTGGGATAGTGGRAGGWGTCCCTGTTCATGGTGTGGGGTTGGAAATGGATGATCTTTAGGYCCCTCCCAACCCMAACCRTSTATGATTCCATATGCTCACAGGTTTTAAGCTACTTGCCTTGCAAGCTAAATCACTCTGTGTTTCTTGTGTCCCAGTGAACTTGAGACCTTTTCTGGACATGGTGTGTAAGACCAGAAGCCTTTGGCCTCAGGGGCTTTGTAAGGGGCCGTCTTGATCTATTTGGCTATGTTATTTTGCTTATTATGTTACAGTGCTATTGCTCACGGCTTTACTGATCCTGCTTGAACACTTAATTTCTTGCCCATTTCTTGCAGGATCTGGCCTAGTGCTGTCCTGTGGGTCAAACTCTTTTGGACAACTGGGACTTCCTCAAATTTCAGGTCCGTGCTTGATTCCACAAAAGATTGAGGTAAAGATTTAAAAGGTGTTGTGCTTTATATTGCTTCCAGCAGCGTACAGAGGTCATCTGACCTCAGTGGGCTTTGAGCCGGACTCCAACTAATTTTTATAGTTACAGATAAGCTTACAAAATAAAGGCTCAAAGGTGGTCACCAACCTAGAAATGAAATGTTAAGTCTGCTTTTCTTACTGTATGAAGAAGTGTCCCACTTCTAACAGAAAATTCTCCCTTTCACTTCTCAGGCAAGAAATTYAGCATCATGGCTTGTGCCAGATACTCCTTTGTTGTTTTTGTAATGTTGGAGGAAGACAGCTGATCCCTTAGGTGACCTCTAGTGAGGAGGAGTTAATTCACTTGACATTTCTCTGCCCTTGAGAGCATTTATTGCAGTATGGTTCCTTAAAATTTGCTGCTGATTTGAATCTCTCTCATCCCTCACCACACAGACTATTCATGTGGAACATTTGCTCTTTGGGTTGGTATCCCTTAAATGCTTGGGCTTGATGCCAGCTATTTTAAATACACCTGCTGCTTTTCCACCAAGGATATCCAGAGGGTTTGCAAAACCCTGCAGGAACAAGACAGCATGGGATGGGAGGTAACAGAAGAGGGAAACATCCATGTTGCCCAAGTTCTGTTGCTGTGGAGGGAAGTTTCCAGGTTTTTCTTCAGTGGAAAAGAAAATTTCACCTGTAACTTGGCTGGATTAAACAGCTKAATGGAACACAGTACTTGCCTGTCACTATATTTCCTGTGGAGGTTTTGGTGTAATTCTTGAGGAACACTTAGTTAAAAATATATTTATTTCTTAATTTTATCACCAAGGTTTCTTCTTTCATGTGAATATTTTGGTTGTGTTTTTTTTTTTATTTATTGCCGCAAAGGTGTGCATCCAGGTGCTTTGCTTGATTTTTTATTTCTGGAAGATGTTCCCACTAATTTTACTTGGCCAAAATTTACTTTCTTGGTGATACAAAACCATGCAGGCTGGAATTGTGAGAACTATTTGCATAGTGTTGCACTTCAGTTTAGCCTATTTTGTTTTTAGAGGCACTAAATACAAAAAAGAACTAAAATATGTTTCTTTTTTTTGTTTGAGTAGTCTCTCAAAGAGAAGGTGGTGCATGTTGCTGCAGGACTGAGACATGCCCTTGCTGCAACAGGTAAATTTGTCATAATTTTAACATTTTTTCAGTAACAAATGAAATAGAATTGAAATGGTATGCAGAGGGAGAGGGAGGAAAAGATGAAAATTTTCTTAGCTATTGTTTATTTTAAATATTACAGGGAAAATACACTTGAAAGTCGTATACTCTAAGATTTTGGTACAAATTAACATGAGTAGTGAACRTGCTGGAAACATCTTCCTGGAAAATCATGAAGAACTTATTCCAAGAATTCAGAGTTATGGTTTATTAACAAGTTAATTTTCTCATGGGTAGAAAACATACTGATTTCTTTTCTCCTATTCTGAAACAAAACACAGAAGGACTCTTTGTCAGGAAGAAAAGCTTCTGATCAATCRAAATATCTTCTTAGGATTTGAATTCATTATAGTAGGCAGAGTAATTTAAGTTTGTGTAAGATGCTTCAAAATGGAATTACACATAAAATATGGCTTTTAAAATGATGTAATTGAAATTGGCACCTGGAAAATCACAAGAAGGAAACTGAATGGTTCTCCTGCTTTATTAGAGACTCTGAGTTTGTCCATGGTATAACAGTAGAAATCAAACCCTTCATTTTGGYATGGCTGTGTTAAAACTGAGGAACAACAAACTATTCCTGCTCTTGTATTTGGTTTAGTTTTGCATGAACTTCAGTATCAGTTCCAGATAGTGGAGCTGAAGGTGCAAAGGAGATGCTTGGAGGAATMGTGGGATCTCTGGTGCTCATAGGAATAGTGGGAATTAAGATTCCCTGTGCTTCACTCCACAAATTGGCATCAAGAGAGGGGAAGGGATGAGAAAGTGCAAGAATTTTGTATCCATTCATGAGATACTGCAGTCATGGTATTTGTTACTGAGTCTCCAGTAGCTTCCTACCTTCTTAGTTTTTTTGCCTGTATACTGAGACTACAGCTGTTTGTTGCATGTTGATTTCACCAGGGTTTTCTGAATATTTTTTGGCATAAAGATCTTTTAAAATGTAATTTGAATCGGTGAAAATGACTTGAATGTACTGTTCATTAATGCATGAAGGGATTTTTGTTGGTGATTGATGCATTTTAATCTCTTTTATCTGTGTTTACTCTGAAAAGACAGCGGTTTGGTGCTTCAGTGGGGAACTGGGATGGCATCTCAGGCAAAGCGTGCAAGCCAAGGAAAAGCCCTCCCCCTGTTCTTGACAGCAAGGGAACCCTGTGAAGTGACAGGTAATCCAAGAACYTGCTTCCTTTGGATGGATGGGTAGAGCAGAAATATAATTTGGAGCGTTACACACCATCCTTTTTATAAATCCACTCGAGATAAACATGTAGTGGAGTACCTGAAGGATAGAATGGTCGGTCATACAAGATCATCATCTGTGGGGGAAATGAGAGTCTTGCAATGTCTATTGCCCAGAGACAGAGCCTTTTTGTTATAAAAATCATCACCATCCTGTTAATGCTTGTGTGCATGTCTGTGTGTGAAATTACACCTGCTGCAGATATTTTATGTGGCTGACTTTGTGCTAGGCCTGGAAGACGTGAAGGTGAAGACGGTGGCTGCCGGCTCCTGTCACTCGGTGTCCCTCACAGGTAGGCCTCAGGTACGTGAGGGAAACTCCTCACCCCACAAAGGTCTCTCTGCTTTTGACRTGTTTGTCAATTTTGGCTAAACCGGTGAAATTTTGATCTGGCCTATTTAGYRCTGGTAATTGTTTTGTAGTGGTTTTGGACTCTGAGAATGTTTCTGTTTTAAGAGATGGATTCATGTTTTGAGTTTTTTGAAGGGGTCAGGTGTGACTTTGCCCATATGTAACTCAGGGTCTGGGCTCTTTAATAGCTGGAAACTCTGAAAGGATTTGTTGAATCACATGGTTGGGTGAATCTCTGGAGCTGTGGCAGGATGCCCTGCTGGGTAAGTGGCTACTGCTGGAACCAGTGCAGCCCTCAGCCCATGGAGAAGATGGGCCGGGGTTGTCCCAGGAAAGGCAGCCGAAGCAGGATAGCCACAGCAATGTGAGCCAATGCCTCTGTGCAGGGATAGGAGAAGGCCTGGAGCTGTCTGAGGTGTCTGAGGCTCCTCTGTGACAGTGTGCAGATCTGTGGTGTAAGAGCACAAACCTTATTTGAAGAGCAGGGAGTTGCTTTAATTGGGTATGCACTTCCATAATGTCTGCCATTTGTTCTTTCATCCTTAGGCAGTGCTCCTATGTTGGAGTATTTAGTATCCCGTAATGAAAGTCTAATAAAGATTTATTTCTATTTTGACAGATTGGGAGAAGAGGAAACAGAATAGCTTTCATGCTGTAATCTTACAGTTTTGAAGTGTGTAAAATATATTGAACCTTATGAAGACAAGTCTTTGCCAAACTTCACAGGAACAAGTTCTTAGCAAATCTGCAGCCATCTGGTACCTCTGTCATCATTAAAGGAGCACTGGAGTATTTGCTTATGCAGATCTATAGAGATTTAGTTGTATGGGGAGATGTTCCAAGATGCAAATTATATTGAATTCAAAGATTCAAAATGTATGCATGATTAGTGAAGACAAACTGTGAGAACAAATAAAATCTACTTTAGATAATTGGCACTCTTTATTTAGACAGTGAACAGATTATTCTTTCATGCTTTTGCTTTTTGTTTAAGAGTGCAGTCTATTTGGTAGCAGGGGGATCAGGGTTGACAAAGTGCCAAAGACTTTTATAATGGGATGCTATTGCTGCCCTTTGTCCTGCAGGATAGTTATTACTTTTTTTTTTTTTTTTAACTTTAAAGATGTGGGTTGTAGTATTTAAAAGGGGTTTTCATCTAGGAAGTTGCACTTGCACTGTGGTACAGTTTTCTTTGCTTCTATTTCATGGGTCACCTGCTAGTGGAACATCAAATACCTGCAGTCAGGCAGRTTTGGGACACAACTGCTGCTGTAAGTTGTTGCAAACACAAATGGTGATTCCTTGGAAAAAAGGATGGTAGAGTCTACTGGTATCCAAACTGGTCTGAACGCTCCAGCGGTGGGAATATGGTGCTAAGTTTTAGTGTCTAAGTTTTTATTCACACCTACTCAAGAAATGAGATTAAGGGTTGAGCATGTAACATTTCCCAGGATAAAGCAAATCCACCTTCTGTAAGAGGAGGTGACAGAGGCAGTGCATGGGGAACATGAATGGCCACAGTGTTGGAACTTGTTTCTGGGAACACAGTAATGTACAAGATCATGTGTGCAGGATTTTTTTCTTACATTTTCAGCTAGTGCAGGCTGGCAAAGATTTCAGGGAGACCTGGCAGCTCATGTTCTTTTAAGTGTTTTTTGTGGATTTGTTTTTTTTTTTTTTTTTTTACCGTGGAGTCTAGGACCTGGGAGGAATGGTTTTGTGCTGAAAAGATGGAACTAATGAAATGCAATGTCTCCAGAGGCACTCATCTGAGCAGTCTTTGTGTTGGTGTCTATTGGCTGTTAGGTTGTGAGCAGCTCCAGCTTGCATTGATAGAAAGGACTACGGGTGTGTCCATAAAAAGAATTATCCCTRTTGTTAGAAGTGTGCATTTGAACAAATGCTTGTTTTAGAAAAGGGATGTGGAAGGCAAGTGACCACTTACAGAATTCTCTCAGGTGTTGTCCAGTGTTTTGAGGCATGATATTGTTTTAATTTTGCCTTGTGATGGGTGTTCATAGCCTCATGTCCAATTGCTTTAGSAAGTGACTGTGCAAGGTGAGACCAGGAACATTGGGCTGTCCCTAGTTTGGGGGATTTACTAAATTTGCTCAAGCTGAAGAAGGCATAATTGGTACGAGCAGAGCTGGGAGTCTAGCTCTTGTAGAGAGGCTGGGAGACTGTAAAACARAGCAGGAGCAGCCAGCCAGGCTTTGAATTATTTTCTGCAATCCAGAAAGTTATTTACTGGATGTAATCAAAGCTTTGGAGTGGAAATAAAAGCTGGTCTGCAAGGACTGGGTGGACTGAGAGGAACTGCTCAATGAATGTCTCCAAGGTTCTYAAATTTTCTTTTACTCTGAGAAGTTGACTACTGTGGTTAGTTTTTTAATAAAAAATAGCCATTGTTATAAAAATATTTCAGTCCTCTTTGAGAAGCTCATATTAGAACTGGGGTGTAGACAGTTTGACTTGAAAGCTCAGGTTGCTTCAGATTTTACTTTTTAACAGATTTTACTTCTATGTCTGTTGTAGATGAAGGACACCTGTATGTCTGGGGCAGCAACAAACATGGGCAGTTGGTGAGCAAAGAMATCTTTCTTGCTGAGCCCAGGAAGATTGACTCTCAGTGTTTCTCACATGAGAAGATTGGAGCAGTTTGGAGTGGCTGGACSCACCTGGTGGCACAGACAGGTAGGATATCTAAAAAGCAGTAACATGTGGCACCCAAACAGTAAATTGTCTTTGTGCAGGCAAGTGGTGTTCTTTCTCACTGATGGTGGCTGGACACAGTGTAGCAGTTGCACCCAAGTTCAGTTGTCTCTTAAAAAATTATGAGGACAGACATCCTTTGGCTGCTCTTTTAGGAGGGTTTTAAGGGCAAATAAAAGAATATGTTCAGAAGATAATCAGTAAACTAAAATAAGCTGGCTTATGTGTGTGTTTGTGGTAAAACCCAGAAAAATATTTGGAAAARACAGTTAAAAAGAAGCATGATTACACTTGAAGAGCATCCCCTGAAGATGGAAATGAAAGCAGATTTAATGTTGAAGCTGTACTTTCCTGGGAACTTTTCTAGTGAGGACAGTGTGAAAGCTGCCRTGTATGGAGGGCTGTAGGGTTAGATTCTTACCTAGGAAGAGATGAGAGGAAGGTTATGTAACAATGACATTCATGTGTAAAGGGATGGTTGAGCTGATGAAACTCATCCAAGTGTGAAATGCAAAGGTGGGAGGGAAAGGTAGATGAGATGGTAAGGCAAGACAGGCATCTGAAACTATCTTGTGGTTTTTGTGTGACCAGGCTGTGCTCTTTGCTTCTCCTCTTGCACAGGATGTGGTGCCATAGTTAAGGTTAACCAGGGAGTGGAAGTTTTCCATGGAGCAAAAGGAACAGCCAGAGCTGTGATGTGTGACTAGAGAAACAAATTGGTTGTTTTCTGCTTCATAGCATTCAATGTTTGACATCAAAGGATGTGAGAGAAATGTCCTGTGAAAAACCTGCATCAGCTGCTCTTTTAGCTATTTAAAAGAAATATCTGAGCTCTGATTTTCAGAGGGTGCTATAGTGAAAATTTCCAAGCTGCAATCAGTGCTATGAGCTGCTTGGAAAGTTTTCAGGTGGAGTAAAGGAATTTATATCAAAATGCACAGTTCTTGAATTAAGTGCTTAATGTCATCCTCACTGGAATAGAARTGGGAGAAAGAAGCCATTAGTCAGGATGGCCTAATTTTTAAAGAGTGAATCTTGTCAACTTGGTTTTGCTTTCCTTCACAATTTCTTAACAGAGCATACCCAYGAGATAAAACATCCCCAAAGTTTTGTAACTTCAGTGTTTCACTGACCTGATACTTGACTGTGGCCATTACAGACACGGAGCATTTTAGTAGGTGTTTTTTTACAACAACAAAAAGTGTGTCAAGTTACTGGCTGGGGTGTTTTGCTTGTGAATGTTTAAAAAGGATTTATATAAAAATAGGCTGGTTTTCTACTTCTGCATTAGAAAACTGGCCAAGTGATGCAGTGGCRTAAGTTATTGCTGAAATTATATTTTATGTATTTAGAATTTTAAATCTCTTTGAAGAGCGATGGACCTGAACCTAAATCATCTGGAATAAGATTTTGAATGGCCTTTGGCAGCCTCCAGATACCAGTCGATCTCCTGGGAATTTCAAGAGTTGTTCAGCTACTAGATATAGTGAGAGCCAAGCACTTAACTCTTTCTGGAAAATCATTCGCTGCATTAAACTTGCAGCTGAATAACTAAAAAATTCASCTCACTTGAGGACTTTCCCCTGCATGCAGTCCTTCCTACCAGTATTTTTACCTCCTAGTGAAGGAGGAAATGGTGCTTCAGTTTCCTGGTACTGAAGTCATAAACCAGTGATCCCCAAAYGTTACGGATCAGTAAAATTTTTTTGAGCATGCAGCCCCCAATATCTTTGTACTTAATTGCTTATAAATTATAGACATATAATGCTGTAATATGCAAACTATAAAACATTTACAATTGAAATTACACAAAGGATGAGATAAACACTACTTAAAATATTACTTTATTAACCTAAATAATGAAAACCATTAAGAATTTATTAATACATTAAAATATTTATATGTAATTTTCATCCTGCCCTCCAGTGGWTTGTCCTGTGAATACCCAGGACTGCATGCACTTCACTTTAGTGATACTGATAGAAACATTTCCTTTTACTCTGGAGAGTAACTCATTTCGTTTTACTCTGGAGAATTCCACAATTAGTGGAAAAGAAGCAAGGTAGAGTGATTTCTGGACACAGGAAAATGGAAGGAAGGAATATTATAATATGATGCTTTTCTGTTCATTGTGGAAGACAGGAACATACTTTGGAAAGACATTGCAGCATAGAGGAATTTTGCTGTGTGAAAGAATGAGCAAGTTTTTTCTAAYTAGTAATCTCACCACGATGCAAAATTTAATAGCTTGAAGTTTGTTACTGTATCTGAATTCTCATATAGTGGTTTCCACAGAAGGTAGTTGAATTTTAAGAGGCCATTATAAATACTTAGAGTTCTGTTTAAATTTTTTTTTCAAGAAAATTAATCCTGKTCAGAGTAGTAATAATAAAAAACTTGTTATTGCAGCTCTCTTGACAGTAACTGAAAACTTTCCTCACTGGAAAGACACAGGAAGGAACTGGGTGGATAAACACTGGACACACAGTGCATAAATTCTACCATTTCAAAATGACATTTTGATCTTTATCTGCCAGGTGAGCAGTGCTTGGCTGCAGAATTAATGGAAGWGTGAAAAGTAAATGAGAGTGATGTTAAAAGCAACCATCTGGAGAAATAGTTGCCAGTTTCACGGTTGCAGTGGTTTGACAATTTTAAAGTGAGTTCCAAGCAAGTTATTAACTTTTTTATCAGAAAAAAGGAACACAGCATAAATACTTTGGTCTTTTGTCTTTCCCTCTTATGTAAGCTGACCTGTTTTAAGATTTGCTTTGTTTTCCCTTCATGCTGCTGGCAAAATTTTGTACTGTAGCATAAAGCAAAATGCACAACTTTTTAAAATTTCTTCCCCATTCTCTCTTTACAAGGGATTTTAATTGCACCTGAAATCACTTTAATACCTGCACCTCTTTCATGTCCTACGTTCTACCTCATTCAACAGAGGTTTCCTGTAATTTCTTTCTAGAGTTTGATCAACTCTCTTTTCATTTGCTGTTGTTTCTATGATAAAACAGTTTGGGTTCAAGGTATTAATTCCTGAGAAATGAACTGCTTGACTTAGAKGTGTTAAGGAATGTTTTCACAAGATGTTGTGTTTTTAATCCTTACCTTTAACTGATCCTCATCAGCCCCAATTCCTTRTTCTTTTTATTATAGAGGTATTTTTGGAGGGCTGTTTCCACTGTGCACACTCTTACTGTAAAGTAACTCACAGAACCCTTCAAGACAGATGAGTGCCTTTTTTTTCCTGCCTTGATTACTGTTTCCCACAGAGGAGAGAAGCACAATTAGACTTTCTGGCAWTGCTAGTATTCTTTCAAAGTAAGTTTCTATAATTCTGATAGTAGAGGTGGTCCTAGTTGGTGATGGTTGGTCCAAAAGGATGAAAGCTGAGAAGCCCTGGTTGCTCTTTGATCAGATCTCTGATGATAAGATATGAACTTGTTCATGTCTTTGGTTTAGTTACTATTTTTCCTGTGGATGCTTGTGTCAAGTGACTCCCAGGAATGCTTTTCATTGATGACASGACAGTGCTGTTCCTGCTCCATGTGAATGACAGACCCAGGTGCATTCTTGTGGCCTTGGACTCCAAGTACAAGTTCTATTCTCTCAGACAATCACTGTGTAAAAGGTTTGCTTCCTTTCCAGCACTCAATGGCACAAGGAGCACCACTGCAGTGTAGGTGACATTATTTCTGAGTAATTATGAGTTGTCTTGCACTGCTCTGCTTAACAATGTCAGCTTTAATTTGTGGTCCCTCTCGAGTTAATGCAAACACTTTGAGGGTAACTGCTGAAAGAGAGGTTATTGCTTAGGTCTTAAAAGAGAGCRAAGTTGTGGCCTGTAACATTGAAGATGTAAATTAGTCTACTTTGGGGATTGATAGAACCAATCTGACTCTCAGGCAAACCTAAATATAGCGAGAGAGGTATTTTAAAGACTTTGAGGTGAATCATCAACTTCCATTCAAAACAAGATATTTTCTTTTTRACTGGGATGCCTAATAAATAACCTTCCTTAATCTGGTCTGGTTTATTATCTGTGTATTCTCCTGAATACATTCACTAATCTATTTGTCACATAGTGTCACATGAAGTTATGCTTTGTTTGAGCTCAGATAAAGAATTCTGAGCTCTTTCACTCAGAAAGTTACTTCAAAAATGCAGTTAAAATTGTGTTTCTGCTGCCTATGCAAAACTGCCTACAGCTAGAAAGTCCTGGAAGAACAAAATGCCGTGACATAGTCTGAATAATATTCTGAATCCTCATTCCAAATGTGCATCTGAATTTGTGCATCTTTGAATGTCCTTTGATGTCATGTCATTTAGGCCACATAAAACCACTCTGAAGTGGTCTGACAGTGTTGGTGACCTACATGCAAAATAAAAACCATCTCCTATTTTTTCTGAAGCAAGTGACAGTGTGTCCCTCCAAACATCCAGAGCAGAATGAGAGATAATTTCTAATGATCTTTAACATTTCAGAATTTCACAGAGGCTGTAGTTGCCCTTCTAGGTGCCTTTTCTGATGGCAGTCACAAGGTAAAGCTGTTGGGCTTTGCTGGCAAGTTGTGCAGCTGCAGGGAGAGGAAGGATATCTGGCACCCGAGCAGCACAGCCTAAGCCCACTAGAGGTCCTTTCCAGTTTGCTCTTGAATCCAGGCTCTGCAGCCTTCCTCTGGAAAACAAACTTTCTCTACCTTGGATTTTTTTTTGCTCCCTAGGGCAGCAAATACTAATTTGTGTATATGTATATATGTATTATGTATATGTATTTTTTTGTAATGCTTATTTCTTTTCACACATGGTAGCCAGGAGTCAAACAGTTTGAAATTGAAGCCCTACATGAGGTAGCTGTATTTAATGTGGAAGGATGCTGGGTTTTGGGAAAACAAGTGAAATACTAGAAAATAGCTTAATCAAAACCTGCAAATTGATAGGTACCCCAGAATCTGTTTGAAGCAGAAWTTGAGTTCAAGAAA